CAACCTCACGTCTAGCTTATTGGTTCTTGATTATTGATTCTACTGAGTAGTGAATGTCGGAGGCAAAATTTAATGTCATTTCCGTTTTTCTTTATGCCAATATGTTGACTAGTCAAATAGAAGTCTCAAAAAGCAAAAAGACACCCGATGCAGTACGCATGCAGGGCCCCTATTAAAATCTGATATCAAAAGGTTCATAAACAGAGAATAATGACATTTCAAATGAATGATGTTTTGAAAGTTCTGTTTGATTAAAAAACTTATTTTCATCTATTATAAAAAGGTGTGGCCATGATGTCTTGCTGAAAAAAAAATGAGCACAGTTTGTGTTTTACAGCTTAGAAACAAATTTTTTGATGGAGAGTAATTTTACCCTTGTCGATGGATGTATTCGACAGAGAAAATATTTTGAGGAAAACGCCTTCCGTGCGATGACAATGTCCTTGGTCAACATTCCCCTCTGTGTAATGACTTTACTTGGAAATGCTGCGATTTTGACAACAATCTTTAAGACTCCTTCCTTAAGTACACCAGCGTATATTTTATTGGCAGGCCTTGCCTTTTCCGATTTTACTTTTGGCTTCATTGTACAGCCCTTACTTTTGTCGATTGTACTCTCTGCGGGATATAACCATGATTTACCACCGGAAACCTTTCGTCTTTTGTGTTCAAGCTTCAACTGTTCGGCCATCGTTTGGTGTGGAGTTTCTCTGGGGACCAGTACAGCAGTTGCGTTGGATCGACTACTTGCTCTCCGCTTACACTTGAGATACCCTGTCATAGTAACCAAGTATCGTGTAATCGTAGTTTTAACATGTATTTGGTTGTTTCAGGGATTTCTGGTGCCAATTTATGCCTGGCAAGTGGGAACCTTTGGCAGATTTATGGCCATAAAAATTTGTGTTGTAATAGTTGTAAACTTCGCCATTTATTTCAATATCCACCTCATTGTGCGACATCATCAGATTCGAATTCAACATCAACAACCTGAGCAAAGGGCCGACACTTTTATCATGAGAAGACTTAAGAAGTCAGCCTTCAACACTTTTCTTGTATTCATATTTCTTCTTATTTGTAGCTTGCCTTTCCTTTATGTCTATTTTAATAACGGCGTATCGATTACAGTTCTTTACATCGCAAGAATTATGATCTCTCTTAACGCATCTTTCAATCCCTTTCTATATTCCTGGAGACTTCGTGAAATACGTTCAGCCACAAAACAAATTTTCTGCCGTTCGTAAGTAGAATGTTAATAGCCTGACACCTGGCACCATTCTGTTTTCGGAAAATCACATTCATTTGACGGAGGAATACAGAGCTACCAAGAGCCATAATGGGATTATGGCTCTTGATAGCTACATAAACTCTGGAACAGTTGACCTCTTAAAATAAGGATGGACAAATCTCTTAACCATTCAAAAAACTTATCTTTTAAGAAAGGCTTTTTCTTTAATAGTTAAGTTTATTAACTACCTGTTCACTGTGCATGATGACATACCATGAAAACTGGGTAAAATAATTTTTTTAAAAATATTATTATTATTATTATTATTATTATTATTATCATTAATACTGTGAACAAACAGTGAAATTCCGTCCGCGCAAAATTATTTGTTTAGATTGGTTTTCATTAGCCTTATTATTTATTTTTTTAAGCTCTTTTTCAATTCGTAAAAATATTTCAAATAACTTATTGACATATTTTACCGCATTTAAATTACTGTTTAATGTATTCTTATCTATTTAAATTATTCTTAACTGTTTGTAATACATTTATTTATGCTAATTTTATATTTTACTCTCATTTGAAAATTACCTGGATTTTTCGAAACGTCATGACGTTTTAGCGTCAACTTTTATCACAAAATTATTATTACTATTATTATTAGAAAAAGTTAAACTGATCTATTTACAAACATATTCTTGAAACGTTCCGTATTTATCTTGGGCCTATGGCAGCCTTAGCGTCTCAGGTCGTATTTAATAAACTTTTCCAATTGGCAGTGGTTTCGCATAAAGGTTCTATGCCGGATATACACAGAAAACACACAAAAGTAATGGACAAAATTCTGGTGGCAGGGAAAAGTGACTTAACTCTAGGGGTAAGAGGACCAGGAGAGAAGCCCTCCTGGGGGGGGGAAGACAAGATCGAGTGTTTTTGGGGGTGAGGCCAATATCCTCCAGTTACTAGGAACTAAGGGGAACCAGGAGGGGTGGCCCTCCTGGGTGGAGTACAGATCAGGTGGGACCGGGGGTCCACACCCTGGAGGGGATATTTTTCGGGACCTGTCTCCAAGGGTTAAACCTTACTGTGGGGTAAAATGCAGCCAGAGGTTGGACTTCCCTGCCACTACTCTTATTGGAAAGAAAGACAGTGGTTCCACAGTCCAGGAACTAATGAAGGAATATGACCTAGTCCGGTATAATACCATAATATAAATGATTAATTGTATAGATACATCAAGATGTAGAGGAATAAAATAACGTTCTGCTTGGTGTACATTCTGGTTGGGCTAAATATATAGTGACCATCAGGGGTACAACATGTAAATTAAAGAGCTAAACAAAGGTTCCAGTCAGAACAAAAAGGCGGGGTGGGAGAGAGAAAAAACTCTGTTGTGAATGAATCGAAGCCTTAAGAAAACTGACTGAAAAAAGGACAGTGTACCGCATAAAGAGGAGCACATGTGCATGATGAGCATGTGATACTAAAAATGGAACCTTTGTGGAGTCTAGAAAATATATCGTGCTAATTTACAGAGGACTTTGCCAGAGGAGAAAGATACATTGTAATAGCACAACTAGTTACTGTTCATTGTTCTTTCTTGTACTTTGGACTAGTATCTACAGTTACTTAGTACAAAAGCTTATTCGAATGTTGAACATTGTGTGACAAGAGAACAGAGACATGATTGTCGTTAGTACCTCACCCTGTGTGCTTTCATAGGGCATAATCTCAGGTTTATTGACATCAGTTTATGTTACCATAAACTTGAACTTTGTATCAATCTTCTCTTGTGGAAAGCAGACTTTCAGGGGGTGGTTATCACAATGTTTAACTTTTCCTAAAATCGCTTTATCCTGTTTGTGCAGTAGACATCTTATGTTTAACGGCACTGATATAAGAGGCAATTTACGGCATCGGTCTAAAAATTGCTGGAAAACACTAAGATCCTTGTCGGAGACATCATGAAAAGATAACCCGCAAGCTAAGTTAGGGAGTACGATGCTATAGAAAAGATAATCAATTTCTATCTAGCTGTAACGCTCTTTTCTGCATACTCTTAGTACGTGTAGACATATGTTGGCCTTGCACAGTTTTTGCATGTGCAGAGAACTTACAGTCATTCTGAAAGGTCAAACCTGATAATTCAAGAGTGGCATGTTAAACAGGATAGGATTTGGAGCTCCCTTTCTTGTTGATGACAAGTTCTTTACACTTGTTAGGGTTACACTTCTTAGAATTACAATTCGCCCAAGTCAAAAACAGTACTCCTCCATTAACCCACTTGACGTATCTCTGCCCACACTGGTGCGATAATAGTAGAGCCATCTGCATACTTAAAAAGGGCGGGAGTGGAACCAAGAGAGAATGTTCTCTTGGTGAACTGACTTGCTTGATTTCAAGGTTATTCAGAAACACGTTGAATAGACAGGGGCAGCTAAATATGACTGAGAATTGCTGTGAAAATCTCAGCATTTTCCTTCTACACCCAAAAGGGAATGCCATCAGGACCCATGGCCGTTCGTTTGAGATTGGTTAGATTTCTATGGTGTCATGAATTTCCTCTCGAACGCAATAGGCTACTTTCGAGTTCCAAAAACCCTCACTTTCAAAATGAGGCCATTTCGAAGTTTAGCCAGAGATTGCTTAGCCACACTTCCAAAAGGAGACATGAAAGCCGAGATCACCGAATTGCAACCCGGGATTGTATTGTTTGTTATGAACATCGCAATTGCAACCGGTTTTTAATCTCATGCGGTGAAGTTCTTCGATGTAGCCAATCAATTTCACTGTTACAGCGTTAATTCCCTGCGGACGTGGGAGTAACCAATCGGCGCCCCATTTCAGATACTAAACTGATTTCTCGCACGGAAATGAGGTTGCTTGCATGTATGACCAGAGGTCCGTCTCGGGAGCCTTATCAAATAAACCCGTAAGCACGGTTTATTTCATATTAGGTACTTTAAGAACGCACCTCTGGAGCCAGGGTAAGTGCATAACCTTTCTTATGAAAATGAGTTTTATTTGCATAAGAATGAAAAATCGTTTCCACATCAAAGGCTGAACACTTAACCTCGTTTTGATACAGAGAACCGGAGGAACTGGGAAAAGGCTTATTGGGCGCCTGGTAGTCCTCCAAGAAACATGGGCATCGACGGAACTCATTGGCTGGTTGGCGTACGTGTGTTCATGCTTGATTGAAGTGAATACCGTCTTAGATGTTATTGTTTGAGTCTCTTAATTTAAATGCATGCCTACCCGCAGATCACTTAGCACTCTTCAAGAGCTCTGTAAAGCTGTATTTAATGTATTGAAGATAATCCAACGCTAGTGTTAAGATACCTTTTAAAGATAAGGTTCTAACAGGTGCGCTTGTAGTGTAAGCGGCTAGTACCAATTAACGTAGGAAACTCTAAAAAGAGAAAAGGAAATCAAATACAACAGGACTTTTGTGCCCTGATCAGGGAGAAAAATATTGCAACACGTTTTTTCTTAATCCTGACTCACTTTTCGGCACCTCAACAAACTATTTCGTAGGAAAAAATATTGATGGCGTCAAAATCGAAGGCAAGTGATTTGAGATCATTCTCTCTTGTTTGAGAACGAGTAAGCTTGGGCCAGCGTTCACCTAATATGGACAAAAGTAAGTGGGTAATTTACATTTGTTATTTCTATAATTGAAAGTTATTTTCTAGCTTAACACTGCTACGTGTTGAGGCAAGTTTGCTGTACGCCTTATACGTTTTTCACGCAGACATGGGCATACAGTAGTTTCCGCGTCGTAAAAGAGACTGCAAAGTCAATCAGTATCAGTTCCACTTGGAGTTAGAATACCCGCAATTCGTCACTTCTAGCCAACATCTGTAAGTACCAACTTCGTGGCGTATATCCTTCGTTTGTATGTTCTAAATAAGTTTACAGAGCAGAAAAGACAGTTTTGCGTCTAAAATCAGTAGTTGATAGTCTTCTATAATTTCTGAACCTTTATGTTGATACTGAATTTCCTGCTAACGAGCCATGTCATTTACAAGCCGTTTTATCGGTGCAGTCGAATTTTTTTCATGCACAGACAGCATATTGTTCAAAAAAAGACTGAGAGAGAGCTAAGCATTTCGGTCGTTGTCGTTATTGCTTTCTTATCTCCTTCGAGTTAGTCAAGTATTAATTTTTAAATGTTAGTAAATTCTGTGTTCGATTTCGGCTTTCGAAAGCTGACACGAGATATTTGGTTTCGATTTTGTTGTTTAATCAATGTTCTGTCGCAGTTTGATGTTTCTAAAGAAAAATTTCCATCCAATCTTTCAGTAGCAGATCCCTTGGCAGTTCCATGTCCTGATATCGTATCGGTGGCTTGAATGATCAGTACGTTCATGTACAGTTATATAATTACTAAATGCAGTTTGCAAATCTGGTACGATGTGGCTTATTTTCTTTGAGTGTCAGGTTGTAATTTCATTTTAGTTTCCATTTGATTTCAATGCCAGCAGCCAGAATTTAACGTTAGGATTTTTCGCGAGCTATTACCAAAGCATAAGCTTACAGCTACGTAAAGAAAAATTAAATAGGCTATTTCACTTCTTTGCTCCTCGCAATAAAATATCGGTTGGTATTCCTCTAACTGACATGTCAGTGGACCCCTTTTCGTGTTATTTTAGGGACAGCCCAGGCAGTCTTTTTAAATTCCAACTCATTTCTTGGGTATGAGCAAGTATCGCTCAGAGGGTCATTTCATATGTCGTCTCTTGTTTTTCTCGTCACGTTTATTCCGCTCTTGGCCTGTACTGGTTTAGTTTTCTTCTTTAGCGTTGACATTAACAACGTTAATAGTGAGTGCTGTTTGGGAAGTTTAACCGGCGATTACTAGTGGTTAAATCATTTGATGTAACCTGATTTCCGCAAAAGCCTATACATTATGCAACCGCGCAGTAATCCTCGATTCGAAAAAATGTATGCGTATTAAATGTACGCGGTTGTGCGGAAATGATGTCCTATTTAGTGCTTGCATTCTTTTTCCCTGCTTTGGTCTCTCGGCACAAGTTTTTAACTGGAGTTAGGGCATTAATTGTCGGTCCTTGAAGCCGATCTTTGCAAACGGTAACTCTTTGAGAAAGATTTCGACAAAAGTTAAACTTGGATATTGGTTATGCACAGCGTTTCGTCTACGCTAAAAATACCTTAAAATACATGTTTTTTTAAGTGCAAGTTTGGGCTTGTATTCAGAAAACATGGACTTGTAATGTACTGGTATGGTTACTAAGCCGACTGCCTCGATTATTATTTAGAACAAAATAAAAAGATAACTGTCAGGAAACAAAGGAGGGACGGAGGAAAGAAACGAATCAAATATAAAGTATTTGCTCCCAGAAAATTCAGATCACTTTTGTAGAATCGGTCCTTTTCAAGTATGGCCTTCTCGGAGAGAAGTCGAGAGAGAGAGAGAGAGAGAGAGAGTGAGAGAGAGAGAGAGAGAGAGAGACATCATTATCACGAATTGGGCAAATGCCACTCAATGTAGTTTATCCGGGAAATATTTGTCTGATTCAAAGGACAAAATCAGAGATTAAGAGGTCTTTCTTTCTGGTCATAAAGGCGTATAAAAGACAGAAAAACTTAGTTACTCTTATCTCAGACTGACAGGCTTTGGTATCCGCTTGCCAGTCCTTTGTTTTGCAGTGCGCAACGCTACTGCGCATCATCTTTTCAAAGTGACAGTAGCCGCTACACGCTGTTTCCGAAGTTTAAAAGAGCTTTTACAGACGAAGTGATTTAGAAACACGCTGTATGAGAAACTTTTAACCTAGGCGATAAATCAGGAAGTGCCATTATGCAGGTGAAAGTTCTTCGCAGATGTGCCAAATATTAAGTGTGACTTGTGAATACGGAGATCATTTTGTAAGCAATTGTGGAGGACATCCGGTTTCAGTTAACGACATGTTTCAAGTAACCAAATCTCAGCTTGAAAAATCTATTTTTCTAATTTGGCCAAACACTGGCCGTGGTGAAATTATGACTCATCAAGCCAGCGGTTCACATGGAAGACCTTATTTTTGATGTAAACACAACCTTACAGCAGGTACACGAGAGGGGGGGTCTATTGTTGTTTTACCGGTCGTTCAAAACCACCACAAATCTTCTTGACCGAGGGCTTTTAGTTTGCCTGAACATAAATCGTTTGTTAAACGGTAGACAGATAAATAAATATAAATATAAATATATAAACATGATAGATAAAAAGGGAAATATATAACTACAAAAACAAGACAAGGGCACTAGCAAAAGTATAAGATGAGTTTTTGAAATGATAATTAATCTAGTCTAGCGATAGCCTAGACCGTCATTTTGTAAAGTGACAGTAATAAAAAAGGCTTAACGCAAGCTTTGCCAGCTTTCGTTCTGAGGGTCATTTGCAATTGACACTCTTGTTATACTGACGGCGCGTTTGTACCCGCTTGCGCATGCCGAAAAAGCGGATATAATTTGCTACATACTTCTGGCTACATGCATTATAAAGTTTGTATTTTAGGGCACTGCCCAGTTTATTTGAGAAAAATTTCGATAAATACCTCGACCTTACAGATTGATTTTGTGCACTGTCGTAGATTCATTCAATCGACACTGAAGCTGCAAAGAAAACACAACAAACCCCCTCTATAAATAACTCAATGTGTATTATTAAGTGCAGGTTCAGGCTTGTATTAAGGAAGTATGCATTCATCATGACCAAGCATAAATCCGCGCATAATAAGTACGGATAATTAGTGCATTACCGACTTAATTTGCCGGCAGAACCCAAATTACTCCACAAAATCAGACAGAAAGAAAGGACTTAGAAAATCTTGAAAATAAGGGAGTTTTTGGGATCTCAAGGCAACTCAATCTGGTATAGCTTGGATAATTTTCTGTATGTGATTTTTACCGAATTAATAGTGAAATCTATTTGATTCAAAGTCAGTATTAGGGGTTTAGTTTCAAGGCCTAAGTAGCTAAAAGGGGAGAAAAGTACTTAATACGTAAGGAGTTCTTTTCCTTTCTTTGGGTTTCGCAAAATAAAGAAGGTCTTGTAACTTTTCTTTAATTATTCATGTCGGTCACAGACGGCTTGCTTTCAATTCGATTTCAATATTAAACAGTTTATTATGTCTACCGCGTTTATTTTCATAACAGCCCAGACCGTGTTTCTGAATTTTAAACTTTTGCCTTATCTGAACATGTATTTTGTTTTAATGGGTTCTGAATAAACCTTTTGACATTTCAGATAATTTCACTTCAATCAAGGTTTGGGATTGTGCGAGTATAAGTATGAAGAGGTTGTGGGGGGGCGGGGGGGGGGGAAGGCTTATATAAGCTATATAGGTATTTGCCGCCTCAAAGGGTATGGTTTTTGAGTCGCTTCGGTCTTAAAAAGGGTATGGATTTTGCCCATTTTTGTCTAAATCGGGTTTTAGTTTTCGAGGGAACTACGGGAGTGTATGAACTTATTCTTCATCTCAGTTCCAAATGAATAAAATAGAAAGAGTAATATGCGAATTCAAAATGGCTTTTAAGAAATCCCTTTGTTGGCCTTCTGATCTAAGCAGTGGTAACATAATTTCTTAGAGGGCAGGTCTGAAAAAGGGTATGGATTTTAGAGGCCCGGTCTAAACACTGGTGTGGAAAATGACATATTTCGGTCTGAAATAGGGTCAGGTTTGGAGAACCAGGCAGCAACCCCCCACCAAGAATCCGGAATACCCCCCGAGACACATTTCTAATTTAAACCCTTGTTGTGATCATCACATTTGTGCCGTTCCCATATTGTTTTGTTGTGATAAAGAATATGAATATTAAAGTTGTTTACTGTGAGAACTGTTTGTGGAATTTCACCGCTCCTTCAATATATTACCTCTGATGCACTACTCGGTGGAGTCAGAAAAAGTATGCGTATTAAATTCTAGGGTTGTAAGGAAATAAAGCTTATAACATCATATACTATAGCCTATATTCTTTTTCCTTCCTCTCGTCTCTCGCCACATGTTTGGAAATGAGAGGCAAGGTATTTATCGTCCCTCCAGTCGGTTTTTGCATGCTATCAATAACACTTCTAGAATGATTTCGAAATAAATTTCCCGATTCATTTATAATGGAAGCCGACATGGAATGCCGCAAAACTTAAAGCTTTTATTAAATGTACCTCTAGAACTAACCTTCTCCCAGTATGTGTTAATCGGAAGACAATATCTTCCCTCCAGCCAGCCATTGCAGTCCATAACTCCTTTACACAGTTTTCGATTAGTACTAATACCGTAAACTAATTCATGAAGTACGCGTCTTCAGTGCACTCTGTGAATGATATCAGTTGTGCGTGACAAGCTTAAATTCACGCAATATTAATAGAATTTGTGTAATTCCGTAAACAATTGTATATCATTTGACTGAACCCCGACTAGCTAGGTTTTTGTCTTAATACTGCAACAGAATGATTAACTGAACCTATTTGGAAGTAAGATCATGATCAACTTTATATTCAGATCGTTTTACTCATCTTCACATAGAGCGACCTATAATAATAACAACAATAATACTTTAATTATCCTCTCCCCTTATGGGGTTATTCAGGAATAATGAAACAAATAATTTAAATGAAACATAACATGGTTAAAAGTCCTAACCGGTAGGAAGGCAAACCAGCTGGCTATTTACAAGCATGGCTGAGGATTTGAACTAGGGATTGCCAAGAACAAATCCAGCTAGCAGTCACGGTACCCTAACCACTCAACTACGCCGCCTCGCCTCCTGTTGTACACTGCTGTCATCCGCAGTGTTAAAAGAGGTGAACTTCTTTAATGAACAATTCTTTAACTAAGGCTGACACCATTTTGTTTTCTAATGTAATCTGCAGGCTTAAATTTCTCAAAATTTCTGGCGATGCCTGGAAACCGCTTGATAATGTCTTTAAAAATAAGGGGCTCAAAAAACAAACCATGTGGGACAAATCGTCAGCCAGTGAAAGGCCTCCCCAATTAGAACATTTCCCCGCTGACGCTAGCACCACTTCAAAAATATGCCATAAACAACACACTTACTTGGGCAAAAGGATGTTACAATCAACAAGAATAAAAACCTTAAAAAATCGATGGCTGTTCGTGAACTCGACCTCTGTTGTCCAGAACCTAGACTAAAGAGTAGTTGCAGTGAACTCTCGGCAGTGAACTAAGAGTTTGAGCAACTGTTGTACATGATCGGCTTCCTTGAAAGAATCTACGGTGGGAATCATATATAATCAAACCAAACTCATCTTGCAATATCCTTCAGTTTACATTTCTAAACTGTTCTCCCTTCATCAATACGTGTATTTCGAAAACACTATTACAAACCAAACACTCTTACACTGCTTCAAAACGGAAATAGGAGTTTCATCAAGTTTCAATCACAAGTGGTATCTGAATGTCTTAAAACCTGATAAAATATGAAAGACGTGCTCATTGTTAGCTTTAAAAACTTTCCTGAGGCTCTGTTTAGTCTTTTATTGTTTCTAAGGATTTCCGAATATTTTGCCTGAGAGGATTAAAGGTGGGATCTGGCAGCTGTGTTTTACCGGATTACAAGACAAAAACAATCTAAAGTCCAGTGTACTCTGCAGGCTTAAATGCAGGCTTCAACAACGATACGGCTTATGTGGTACAGTACTTTTAAAGTGCTTTGAGTCTTATCTTTGTAATCGTACCCAGTTTCTCAACAAGCGTGTTCTGTCAGTTGGTGTGCCTCAAGGGTCTGTTTTGGGGCCTGTATTATACCCCATACATACATCTCCTCTCAGTGATATTATGAAGAGTTATAACATCAATTACCCATCATCTGTATGCTGATGATAGTTAGGTTTACCTTGCTTTTAAAATAAATGATGCATCCTCGATCGAAAACCGCATTGAAAGCTGTGTTGATAATATTTGTCGTTGGATGAATCACAATGATCTTAGAGAACGAACATAAAACTGAAGTTGTGTTCATCTCTTCGAAATTTCGTGATGGCCCTTCTCTGGATTACGCGAACATTGGAAATGAAAGGATTTACTTATCTGGTAAAGCCACAAGCTTAACAGTGAGATAAAAGGAAAACTAATTTGACAAAGTCCGTTCCAAAAACTAGGATTTAATATGCACTGATGGTTACTAAATTAATCATTATCATCCAACAGCATGAAAAAAGCAATCGTAATCTTGATTTATAGGATTTTCCTAAGGAAAAGAAGAATTTATCAACTGTTCCAGCTAGAAACAAACTTAAATTAGCCATTTGATATGATAAACATAAAAAATAGAGCCCCAACTAGGACCCAAGTAGAAAGCAGGCTTTATTAAGTCACGTCTATAAATAATATTAATTGCAAATAATAATAATAATAATAGTAATATTCCCAATAATAATAATATTAATATTGCCAATAATAATAATAATAATATTAATTATATTCAACATATGTATACTATGACGAAGACGAAAAAACACATCCATAAATTTGTTCAATTAATTGGGTTTGTTTTATCCTATTGGTCTAAGCGTTTCCAATACTGCCACACTTAGAGCCTGTTTATTTGGTGTTGGGGGACCCCAGATAGGTGACGTAACATGGGGCGGGTCACCCACCTATCATGCAAACCTGATCAAATTAAAATGAGAGATTATTCCTAACGGAGTGAGGTGTATTATCTCGTCGCCTGCGAAGCGCGTGTACCGCTCGTGACTCCCACGAGGATCGCAAGGCAAGCGTGATCGTCTCTTTGCTATAACTCTATCTAGTTTGGTTGCTTGTCCGCCTTGACGTCATTGCATTGTTGGTTTTCAGGGAACCAATAGGCTTGGCTACGCCATTTAAAATACCTCAGTTATATAATACTTAAGTTCAAAAAAGAGTTTTCAAACATCAGCGAAAACGCCTAATTTGTGTATTTTTTATTTAGTAATTGGTCATTATAACTGAGGAAATGGATAAATATGAAAGTAACGGTTATGATGGCTGAAGAAAATCGTTCGTTATACCGAGGATTTCGTTATATAGAGGTTCATTAAATCGAGGTTCCACTGGATACTGTTAAATAATTTATTAACCAGCTCTTTTTGTATAGGGCTAGTTTTCAGAGGTTTACATGTGACTCCAATAACGTAGCTTTTGATTGGTCATACCTTTGATGAATAATTAATGAATTTATAAGTCGCGGTAAAACAAGAACTGTGTAGTTATTGGACGCTTTAGTCAAAAACTTTTCAGTAGATCTGTTTAGCATTTCCTAAGAGAATTTTAGATACGATACAGTTGTGTTTTCTCAGATCAAAACATAAAAACAGGGAAGGTTTGATGAGAAATCATTATTTGAATATATATAATATATGCGACTGTTTTATAAATCATTAGAGGAAAAAATTATATCTAAATGTGTGGTAGTAATCACACCCTTGCACATCAACATAAATCGGTTCCGTTGAATATTCGATTCCTTTGTCTTGCACAGGTGCGTGCATAAATTATGTGTGTTATGTCCAGGTAGTCTTGGTATAGCTAATGAAAAGTGTTTATTTTATTTTTACAATTCATTTTTGACTGAATCTAAAGCAGGCTTGTTTTGTTTCTGCCTCACTCAATATTGCTTGTTCGTAACGCGAAAATCAAACTTGAATTTTTTTCCGCCGAAGAACAAGCTGGCAGCAGTTCATATTTTTGGTTAGTTACCAATAGTTATTTGTTAAAGTATATTTTTAACTCTTGAGGTTGATAAGATATTTAACATATGTTATTTCTTTAACTCACTATCAATTCGGTCCATCCGTCGTCACTAGGTCCCTAGTTTTTTTTTCTTTTTTTTGTGGTTTCCTGGTTTTCACTAATAAATCCTTCTTCGCTTCTCTTGTGCTATTTTTACACCGTTTTCTCAGAAAACAAGGTGTTGACAAATACAAATTTTTACCAACTATTTCTGTAAATGTATATTGACAGCACTAATTATTAGCATATTTTATTAAAAACTGACACAAAGGAACCTGCAAAAACAATCACACGTCTAGTTTCCTCTGTTCGACATGTACGTGTAGCTGCACTTTCCTTTGTCGGGGGTAGGGTACAGCTACACGTAGTCTATCAATGAGATTGATACTTAAGATATCGTGAAGTCATTGATTAGTACTTACCACAGGTTACCCAGGCTCACTATTTGTGTCACGTACGAGTTTCATATAACATGAGTAAGTATAGAGAACATATGGAGAGAAGTTTAGGTCTGGAAATTTGCTAGAAAATGGAAATAAAAATCGGTGAGACTTACCACGTGGAGAGTTGTTGTTGCCCTTAATGCACACGAAGTTTCGGAAAAAATAGTCTCCTGGAGAATATTTTCGCGAAACTTCGTGTGCATACTGAAGAAACCAACTACTCGCCACATGGTGAGGTTCATCGATTTTTATTTCCATTTTCTAGCAAATTTCCACCCCTAAACTTTGCTCCATATGTTCTCTATACTTATTCATGTTATATGAAACTCGTACGTGACACAAATAGTGAACCTGCCTTGTCTGTGGTACTTACTACCTACTGTAGTACTAAACACGGCTTAAAATGAAATTTTACCCATCCTGTGAATTCAAATAGCTACACCACAAACATGAAATTTTTTTTAAGAACCACTCAAAATTCATTTTCTGACTCAGGTTCATGCGGGAGTTCACGCATGGCTCATGCATGTTCTTCCTTTACATTAGACTTCATTGGACTAACAATTTTGATTTATCAAATTAGATAGTTAAAAAAATTGAAAACCCAGAGAAAAACGATGATGTTATTTGTTTTTTGTTAAGTCATTGGTTATAACTGAGGAAATGGCTGAAGCGGCAAGTAACGGCTACGATGAATTTCCTGACAACACTGATGTCATGTGGATGAAAATGGCCTTGATGGCAGCCAGTCGTGCTGAAGTAACGGAGCATGCAAAAGGAAAGCCTAGTGTTGGCTGCGTAATTCGCCGCTCAAGAAATCGTGGTCCTCCTGCAGTGTTAGCAGTTGGATGGAACGGTTTCCTTCCTAATACACCTGAGGGGGAGTTAGAAGAAATAAAAGGTCGTCGATTTAAGGAGTCGAGGGCTGCTAAAGATAGGGACAATGCACTGACTGCGGAGCTCGGCCTTCATGCTGAGACAAATGCCCTACAGTACTGCTCCGAGAGCTCGGAGATGGCTACTATTTACACGACTCATGTGCCGTGCTACAATTGTGCAAAACAGCTAGTTGCTCATAAAGTTGGGCGTGTTTTTTACCTGTTCTGGATGAAAGATTGTGAGACCTCAATAGAGCTCTTTGAGAAATTCGACATAACTTGTGTAGCCTTTGGAAAACGGGATGAAGTACTATGGGATTTCAGCGCGTTTTTCTTGACAGACCGCAAAATTGTTCAGGGAAGCACCGTTCCGCAAACATCCCTGGAAGAATATCAATACTTTTTGGATTCTAGGGACATAAAGCATTTGGAAGAAGTTAGACAGTACAGCTTCGGTAATAAAATTGTCTTGGGATAAAGCGCAATAGCGTTTGAAAAAAATGTGATTACCGCTGAAAAAATATATGAATAAAAACGTATGATACGATACGATACGATACGATAATTTATTTAACGTGGACATTACTCTTAGCGTAATCAGCTAGTCTGTACAGGTAATCTACTGCTTTAGCTTAGTATATTCTAAAAATTAAAAAACTAAAAATGTACAACAACATTCCACACATGTAAGCCCTTGTCCAGGCCTTGTCCAGGCTCCAGAAGCACTAAATAAGGGTCAAGTATTACAGTAATAGGTAGACTGTTCACAGTCCCCTATTTTTCGTAAGATCGTCAGGATCGTCAGGATCGTCAGGGGACGAGCGTCGGGACCCCCCCTTAAGTTGATTTGACACTCTTTACATCTAAGATGGTCACCCTCCCAGGGGGGGTACACGGGATTTCAAGTGATGGGGATGATCGAAGGATTTTTGGGGGTTTGAAATTTTCGATTCCGGGATTTTTTGGGGTACGAAAATTTGGCAAGTATTTTTTTGGTAGCTTGATTTGAGTAGGGATTTTTTTGAGGTATTAAAAAGAATCGGTAGTGCCCTGGCTGCGTAGTTCTGCGAATAAAGTTCAAACAAACGCGTTTTGCTGTTGTTTGATAGTTAACTATGGTGTCGCTTTACATCGCACGTGTTATACAATAGTTTGCATTGTCCCGTGGTGCCCGGCCGTGTACAAGACCTCAACCGCTTCAGTTCAGTCAATTGGCTTTACCGTCACTGGAATTCCATTTTGCTCTAGTGAACTTTTGAAAATCGGCATGGGATTTTTTGGGGGTTAATTTTTGGTCCAGGGATTTTTTGGGGTTTTGCTGGAAGCCCTAGGGATATTTTTGGGTCTTGACTTTTGGCTCCATTCGACCATCCCCGTCACTTGAAATCCCGAGTACCCCCCCCCCCCCCCCCCTGGGTTCACCCTTAACGCAAAGCGCTCGATCTCGATGTTCTTACGGGAAAATAGGAGACTGTGAACAGTCTAAGTAATAGGGTATTCGCTTCACAATCGGTCCATAACTGTTTTACAGCTTACTGAAAATTAATTTAAAGAAATTGTCATTCAAAATTGCTTATAGCCCTGTTCAAAGTCGATGGGACTATGCATTTTCTGGGACCTCGCTACATTTGATTTGTTTCAAACAACCTTTCAAAAAAAATTTTCTATGTTCTGTTTGGACTACTTCCATCTTGAAAAATAGCTACCAGGGTCGAGTTGTTTGAGGCAATGTTAGCATTGATTTACTTTTTCAATTAGTTTTGAAAAATCAGAAAAAAGTTTAATTTCTTTATTTTCTTATCAGGGCGAGAATTAGAATTAACCAATAGAGAAACGGCTGAAGAGGAGAGTAACAACCACGATAACTTTCCAGGCGACTCTGACGTAATGTGGATGAAAATGGCCTTGATGGCGGCCAGTCGGGCCGAGATACCGAGGGAAACTGCGGACATGCCAAGTGTTGGCTGCGTAATTCGTCGCTCAAGAACTCGCGGCTCTCCAGCAGTGCTTGCAGTCGGTTGGAACGGATTCCTTCCCAATACAGCTGAGGAGGAGTTAAAAGAAATAAAAGGCCGCTCTTTTAAAGGGGAGAATGCTGATCAGAAAAGAGACAACGCATTGACTGCGGAACTCGGCCTTCATGCTGAGACAAACGCTCTACAGTACTGCTCCGAGAATCCGGAAATGGCCACTGTTTACGTCACTCATATGCCGTGCTACGATTGTGCAAAACAACTTGTTGCACATAAAGTTGGGCGTGTCTTTTACCTGTATTGTACGACTTACTCGGAGGGTGATCATGAACCGAGAACAATTCGTCTTTTTAAAAAGTTCAACATCTCATGTATAGCCTTTAACAAGCGTGACAGGGTCCTGGAAGATTTTAGCAAGTCTTTTCTTGAACATAGAGGTATTCTTCGGGGAAACACTGATGCCGCAACACCTCCAGAAAGCTGTCCGTCATTCCTAGATTCAAGAGACAGCAAGCCCTTACCTGCGTCGCAGACGCTCTATACACATGTTTAGACGAGTGCGTTGACCGGCTGCAAAAAGAAATTGTTGAAATCGTTCTAGGGCGGAATTACATTTTGTCAAAGTATATAAGGCAAGTTTCCGAAAACTACCATAATATTCTTTAAAGTACAAGTTTAAGTACTGCATCAAGTAGGCTTGCTTTTCCAATTGGTGCTGAGCACAAATTGAATTTGCTTAAAATCAACGACGACGCCAAGTACGTTGTTCCTATTCTTTTATCTATCAAAGTGATGGCAATAGCAACTCTTCCAGGCTCAAGCATAAGCTAATGTCAAAAGGTTTATCTTTAGAAGACAATCTCGTCAAGACAAACTTGCTAGTGTATATAGGAAAACTTGACGAAGCTTCTTTAATTCTCTTCCTTAGGTTTTTCCCTTGGAATCTGGGAGGGAGGCGGGGGAGAAGCTCCCCAATTTGTCAGTGTGATTATCAAGGTCAAGCTGTCTGCCATTTATTTCGTAATTGAGACTTGGACAAATTGTTTATATATTAGGCTTTTATAACATTTCATTTTCTTGGTTTCTTCCACTGGACGGTTTCCAATTTAATTTTTTGTTGCGTGACAGTGAAAACGATCTATATCAAAGAGGCATGAGCTTCCTTGTTGAAGCTTATGTGGGTGAACTTCAGGTTCTACTATGTGCTTGAATTATATGCATGCTTTTTTCCTGATCATTAGGGCCATTTATACGAGGAAAAATAAGACCCGTCTTACATAGGACACGTCTTAAATAAGACGCGAACACGGCACATTTCGTCTACAATAAGACGCGGCTTAGCTAAGACGCGTCTTATTTTAGAACAGCCCTTAACACTTGTTCTTAGATGAGACGCGTCTTAGCTAAGACGAGAAAAACTTCGTATAAATGACCTTCGCGTCTTATATAAGACGCGAACGCATAGTACGCATCACAGGGTCCAGAGGAGTTTCGTGTGAATAAATGAATTACTTACCTTGCAAAATGTCTATACCTGTCGCTTAGCACGATTAATTAGCCCAATGGGATCTTTATAAATCTACTGTAAACGATTTCTTCGCTTCTTATCTGACCCAGATCGACTTTTGAAAATCAATAACCGCAAGCCATATCCTTGCTGGCGCACGGCACGTCGCCCGAAGGGTGACCGAAGGCCGTCGCCTGGAGGGCGACCGAGGCACGAAGTGCCGAGTAAAAGAAAGGACAAGGGAAGAAACTTGTACCACGTGACTTCGTTCTATGTGAGCCGCAGCACTCGGTGACGGAAGTCGGAATGAGACCGGAAACGCAAAAGCAACAGACCGCTGCTAATTCGAGAATCAAAACATCAGCTGCGGGGAGAGTTTTAAAGATCTCAGAGATCTATGCGAAAACAACAGAGTTTTAATTGAAGTGAAGATCTTTCAAGACTGGACATTTGTTGTACGTTTCAACAGTCTTCGATGTCTTAAGCAGGTTTTGCTTGTGCGAAGGCTTCCCAGTAGTCGCAAAACGCACAGCCAAAGACGCAAGAGGTAATATAGTTGGACCACCGAAGAATGGCACAGTCGTGATGATATTACAGTTGCCTTGTACGCCCGCTCTACTCAGTGTTACTTTTTATTGCAAGAGTACACACGACCCGTAAATCACTATCCGTAATAATTTAACATTCTCCAAACAAAACTAACAAGCTGGGCCCAGCGTGATACAGCATTGAAGAAAAACATTACATTCACGGACTAGAGAAAATCGCTTAGTTATTCAGATCTAGAAGGCACTTTGGAGACAACTGGAACCCTTGTTCAGCTGTAATAAAAAGCTTTACGCTTCAAAAGAGGTCAAAGAAAATGCGCTTTCATCAGAGGGCAAATCCTGCTGACCAGAAACAATAACCACAGTAAATCGATATGTGTCATGACCTCTCAGTGTGAAACATGCGGCTAAAATCCCCGCTAAAATCACATTTGCTGTAGAACCTTCCAGAGCATAATCTATCCTGCAGAGGAAAAAAACTTTATTGGAACGAGCAGCATTTTAGCATGAGGCAAAAGTCGTGTAGGCTTCCCTTTTATTGCTCCGATCTTGAACACATTTACTTTACTACGTCATTTCCGTCACCATGTGTTGCGGTGCACACCGAACGAAAGCGCTCTCTAGAAGCCGTAAATTTCGGTCGCCGAAAATGAATTTGAACGCTTTCTTATGCCGTTTTCCTACAGTATTTGGCAAATACATAAGAATTCTAGATCAGGTTAGTAAAATCAGGCGATTTCATTCAATTCCATTTGAGTTTTAGGGATTCGAAAATCGGCCCCAAATTTGTTTCCTCCCTTTCCGTATTTTATACTGTAAGCCGATCTTGCGAGCCCTCGGTCTCTTGGTTTGCGGTCTATAGAATGTGTAACGAAACCGTAACGCGATCAAAATAACCCATTTTTTCAGAGGTTTTCGACGGGTTTTGATGTTCTAACGACACACACATCTCCTCTGGACCCTGTGTACGCATGCGTTAATTTTTGGCGCGCCACGTTGGATTGCCGTTGCTACTGGCAACATTCACATGAAAACGAGTCAAGAGCAGAAATAAGACGCCAACCATATTTATACGAGCAGTTCTCAGTCTAAGATAAGACATGCTCGTATAAATGGTACAGTTCGCGTCTTATTTAATACGCGTCTTATGTAAGACGCGTCTTATTTTTCCTCTTATAAATGGCTCTAATGTTTCTCTATTTTTTTTTAGCGTCATATCAGAACTAAAGGGGAAATTTATACTCGATTTCAGTTCGTCTCGTCTAAGTTGAACAGGTCTTAGTAGCATCAGTAAGCACGAGGCCGTTGGTTTATTTTTGCTATTTCCTCCTTTTTAGTGAGTACATCCATATCCCTAATCACTACTCACGAGTGTTCGAATGTATTTCTCATTTTCTTATTTTACAAAATCTATGATTTTATCTGGAGGCAAAATGAAACCTGTAAAACTGAGATAAGATTCTCAGAAATATTTAACAGCTATTGCCGTGAATTAAAATGAATTCAACGATAATCCTAACTAAATAAACAGATAAACAGCAAAAAGTCGCTCATTTTTATAGACTAGCTCGTTGAATTTAGTTGTTCCATATCTTGATGAAAGGAATAAAACAAAAGAAATGTATTATTCATTACTGAGCCTCACGATGATTTCTTTTGTTTTATTCCCCCAAGCCTCACGGCCAAGTATAAATTTTGATATATCGGAATTGGTTTATTGCGTTGGACCAACTACTTTCTCTCCGCTTACACATTTGAGATACGATGCCATAGAAACTAAGTTTCGTTTAATCGTAGTTTTAACATGTATTCGGTTGTTTTAGGGATTTCTGTTGCCAGTTTATTTCTGGCAAGTGAAAACCTTTGGGAGATTTATGGCCATGAAAATTTGTGTAATAATAGTTGCAAAATTCCCCATTTGTTTTAATATCCACTTCATTGTTCGACATCATCAGATTCAACAATCTGAGCAAACGGCCGACACTTTTATCATAAGAAGACTTAAGAAGTCAGCCTTCAACACTTTTCTTGTATTCATATTCCTTCTTATTTGTAGTTTGCCTTTTCTTTATGTCTATTTTAACCACCGGTAATCGGCTCCTACAACGGGGTATCGAATGCAGTTCTTTACATCGCTTTATATTCTTGATTTCTCTTAACGCATCTTTCAATCGAGTTTGACTAATAGTCGCAGGTCGCGGGTCGCGGGTCCAATGTCGCGGGTCGCGAGTCCAAAGTCGCGGTCGCGGGTCCAATGTCGCGGTCGCGGGTCCAAAGTCGCGGTCGCGGGTCCAATGTCGCGGTTGCGGGTTCAATGTCACGGCAGGGGAAATGATTTGAAAATGACTGATATGAAAACAATATGAAGGGAAAAAATCTTTTTTATGCACGATACTCTACGGTAGCCAATTTACAGGTTACAGATGTTAGAGTCAACAAAAAAATGTCTCAAGAAAAGACCTAAAACAAAAAGCTGGCCGACTTTTGTGTTCACCGCAAGTTTATTTTGTTTTCTTTCTATCGGGCCCAGTTAATTGTAAATTCAGCTTTGAATATACTTATGCATAGCAGTATCTGATAAAAAAAGTTGCCATGAGTTACCATTGTTTTCTTCTTGTCTATGAATTGCTGACAAATGCTCAGGGGTGCATTCACTCCAAAATGTGCGAACTCTTTCAAATTTAACAAATTTTTTCGGCAAAAATAAAGAAAACGCTTGTTGAAAAACTTCCTGGACGCAAACTCCCAAATAAACTCTAAACTCTGGAACTGGAAAGAGAAGGAGTGACGTTGGGCTTGAAGTGCCATTAAAGTACATTCAAGGAGGCAAGTGGGTATTCAAGGCATGAATTTAATATAGAAACAACTCAAGTAATAATCCACAGCAAGAGAGGATAAAACTCGAGTTTTATCCTCTCTTGTCCACAGAAAGGAGTTTGTTTCTGGAAGCTAGGTTTTCGCTTAATGCTTTTATTTTTACAACTGAGACGGTTAGCCGGAATGTTCAGTAGAACCTCTTGTTCTTTTCACTGAAACTCAATTTTTCAATAGTTTGAGGGAAAATAAAATGTGGTGAAGTATCCCTCACATTCATTCATCCTATACCATTTTTATTTTCATTTTCATGACATGCAACATGCAACTCACTCTTAGCACAAAGCGCGCCGATCAGGACTTTTCGCTGGTTGCGTTGTTGTAAGAAGCTTCGTTTCAGATTCGCTGGCTTCTTTCCGTTTAATATTACCTGCCGGTCTAGAAGACAAACGTAAGTATCTTTATTTGTCTTACAGTTTTGTGTCTCATTCAAAGCTAGAGCTGTTGATTTTTTGCCTTTATTTCAATTGTAACTGAAACACTTTTTGTTGAATGTGCATCGTCCACAGATTTTGCCTTTCACCGTTTTAGTAGCATCTAGTCCTCAAGACTTAGACGATACGTTGAGCTAATCTCCAAAGAAGACCTCGTGGTGAGTTTATCTTCTAGTTACTTTTAAGCTTA